TATTAAATGGATTTCTGGCCTTAATTACATAGTGTATACTAAAATGCAGATGGCCAAATCCATACAAAGAGGAAACACTATGCCATGTCAAGACCAAATTTAACAGGTTCCACCCACCATATGTCTACCAAGATTTTATACACCCTTTCAATATAAAGCTGCAACAAGTTACATAACATGTCATATGGTTTGAAATTTCAAGTTTCAAGGTAAAGTTTGTTGAAGTTCAACAAACCACAGTGAAGAACTGAAGATGAACCACAATTTGTTGGGTTCAGACAACTCTTCAAACTACAGTATGTAAATCTAAAACAGAAAATAAAAGGTTATGAGTTGCATTTCACAACTGTGCTGGAAGAGGGGAGCAAGGACCGTTGCCTAGTTTATTTTTCATAATCCTGGACATTTGGACAAGCCCATATTCTATCCTTTTGTGTAGATTCCCCCACCAAGAGAAGTACAGCATCACATAAAACTGTTGTCAAACCTACAAAAAGTGCCCATGGAACTTCAGGTAGGCTGAATTTAAACCACTCACAAGCATTCACCAAAATCTAACAGTTAAGGTGCAATAGGCAGAAGATACTGCTCTGTTGGCCAGTCAAAGGCAGACAACCAAATCCTTAGTCTTAATATCAAATCTAGCCAAAACAGAGGCTTTATACCAGGGGTAGGCAACCTACAGCCCAGATGCGGCCTCCCGAGGCCTTTGGACCGGCCCCAGGCCGGTCCTGCCACTGCCGCCCCCCACCGCCGTCTGCCATGATGATATTATTGTTGTTATTACTTGTTCTTGGGGTTTTCTTGCAAAATCTCCACAGGGGTTTTGCCATGGCTTTTCTGGGGCTGAGAGAGTGTGCATGCATATTTTTTTATTTTTTAATATATATATATATATATTTATTTATTTATTTATTTAATTTTTGGTGCTTCGGCCCCCCAATTGTCTGAGGGACAGCAACCTGGCCCCCGGCTCAAAAAGGTTGCCTACCCCTGCTTTATACCACTTATCACAAGGCTGGGGACTTTATAGCTGCCCAAATATTATTGGCCAGTAACTCTCCTCAATCCTAGACATTAACCTTGGTGAGGGATTATGGAAGCTGCAGTTCTGACCTATTGCAAACCTTTGTTCCCTTTTGTGCTTTAAAATTACTCTGAAGCAGTAAGTGTTTAGTTAAGACCTTACAGATTCTGGTTCAAGGCTCCACTCAGCCATGAAACTCACCAGGTACATTTTTGCCACTCTTTCTTTTTCTCTCAGTCTGATCACTTACAGGACTGTGTGAGGATCAAAGGGGAAGGAGAAGACTCAAGTACACCACCTTTTATTTTTTTAAAGATGAGACAAGATCTAAATGTCTCTAATACTTAAATTAGTTGTTGGTGTAACCTGTCTTCAAGTCATTTCTGACTTATGGCGACCCTAAGGCAATCATGAGGTTTTCTTGGCAAATTTCTTTGAAGGAGGTTTGCCATCGCCATCTTCTGAGGCTGAGAGAATGTGACTTGCCCAAGGTCACTCAGTGGGTTTCATGGCCAAGCTATGATTCGAACCCTGGCCTCTGGGGTCGTAGTCAAACACTCAAACCACACCACACTGGCTCTCAGATTTGGACTAGGTATAAGAAAAGAAGCAGAAGAGTGTCTGATAGAATTTTATGAGGCCAACAACCTATTCATTGTAAACATCCGTTTCATAAAACCAGAGAGGAGACTATACACATGGACATCACCAGATAATACAAAAATCAGTCCAGTTATACAACTGGAAACAGAAGATAGAGAAGCTCTATTTTTGCAGCCACAACTAGACCAGGTGCTTAAAAATTAGAGTAAATCTGAAGAAGAACACAAAAACAGTTATTATACCAAAATATGACCTGAACAATATCTCAACAGAATTTACTGGCAATGTAAGGAATATATTTGAGCTATTAAGCATAATAATAATAATAAATAAAATTTATTTTTATACCGCCTTGTGGCAAGCCAATCTAGGCGGTGAACAGCAGTAAAATACATACAGATTAAAACAATATCATTCCCTCCTCCCCCGCATAATGAATTGAGTACCAGAAGAACTATGGGAAGAAGCAAGGGATATAATTAAGGAAGTATTCAAAAAGACAATAGCTAAGCTGGGATTTGAACCCTCATCTCCAGAATCATAGTTCAAAATTCAAACCACTATGCTATGCTGCTTCAATACATAAATAGTGGTCCTTAAATAAAATCCTGATGGGATCTCCTTGCAGATGGCTGGACAGGGCTGGTTCTCTTTACACAGTTAACACTCCTTCCAGACATGGCTGCATCCTTGGGGTGATATTTACAAAGGATTCAGCTCATCTAAATGGGTTTACTCAATTTACTCAAGATACATGGACTCTATTAAGGAAGTCATGGGTATGAATTTGCAGGACCTGAGCAGAGCAATGGAGGTTAGGCAGTCTTGGAGATGTCTCATCCATTGAGTCACCATGAGTTGGGATGGACTCAAGAGTGATTAGCTATTTATTTTATTTTATTTTATTTATTTTATTTTATAAAATAAAACCGCTTAGAGAATACTAGTTCACTGATAAGCAGTATAGAAATGTAGAAACACACTGCAGAAATAATCCAGTTTGAGACCGCCTTAACTGCCCTGGCTGAGTGCTAGGGAATCCTGGGAATTGTAGTTTAGTGTGGCACCAGAGGTTTATGACAGAGAAGACTCAATGTCTCGCAAAACTACAATTCCCAGAATTCCCTGGCATCAAGCCTGGGCAGTTACAGTGGTCTCAAACTGGATTATTTCTGCAGTGTGTTTTGGAACTATGGTAGAAGTTATGAATGGACACTATAAAGAAACAAGAATCATGTAACAAAGTAGCTGTTATGTTAACTCATCTATACGCCAAATGATATTTTGTAGGTTTTTATACACATTTCTGCAATTTGTTTATTTATTATTCGTTATTTCATTCACAACTTTATTTATTCATTTATTTATTTCCTAACATTTTTTTATTTATTATATTATTTCATTCATTCCATTCATAACAAACGACAATTCCCAAATTCCCTAGCACTGAACCAGACAATTTAAGCGGTCTCAAACTGGATGGTTTCTGCAGTGTGTTTTGGATGGTACTTTCTATTATTATTGATACATTTGTATGCTGCCTTTCTCCCATAAAGGGACCCAAGGCAGCTCACTACACACACACCCACACACACACCCCATATATATATATATATATATAGACACACATACACACACACACACACAATAAAATTTAAAACTGCCAAGACTATTTAAACACAGTATAACATTCTATTAAAATATACAAAAGTTGAGAGTCATAACTGAAACATTATTATGATTACTGCTATTGCTACTGCTACATCTGTATGCCGCCCTTCTCCCAGAAAGGGACCCAAGGCGGCTCACTATATACAAACACACGCACACACATATGTGTAATAACATTTAAAATTGCCAAGCCCATTTAAAGACAGTATAACATCACATTAAAATATACAAAAGTTGAAAGCCATAAGTGAAACATGATTTGTATGCTGCCTTTTTCCCAGAAAATGACCCAAGGGGACTCTCTCTCTTTCTTTCTCTCTCTCTTTATATATATATATATAT